TTTGGTGAACGCGCACCGGGTGAGAATAGCCACAAGACTCGCCTGCACTATTCTCACTCCGGGTGAGAATAGAGGTGGCCAAATGCAAAATATAAATAGGTTATTGCCAAGGTTGAGCTCTTTGTTTTCTCGCAGACCTTTTGAACGCATTTTCAAATGAAGTATTGCCCAGGAACGTTGCCCCAACCGCAACTGAAGTATCTGAATATTCAGATATTTAAAAATATCTAGATTCTAGGTATAGATTCTAGATCTAGATATATAGAAATTGACTTCGATAAAAAAAATGCTTCTTCCCAGTCCTTGCAGAATGGCATTATATGAAAGATGACGCCTAATCTCACTACTAATAGTAGGGGGCCTAACCCAAGAATGTCGATAAATAACTGAAACCGTTCGGAGAAATAGAGATCAAGTTATATTCCCGAGCGTTCGGAGAAATAGTCATAGTCATTTCGAAAATTAAATTTGGACTCTGAATTGAGTCCAGCATGACGTCCGTTCTGACTTTTGACCCTTGTCCTTGTCCCGAAATATTTCCGGCATTTATAATTGTTTTTTTCGAATATAATAATGATAACTATCGAGACATGCGCGCTTAATATCCAGTTACTAGGTCTGTCTAAACTGGCCCTCCATGCCTCATTAGTATGAACAGAACAAGCAAGTTGAGTTGACCTTGCCTTGCCGGGGGGCAAAGAATCTGGGTCCCGTTTGGGAATATTAGTTTTGACTCTACCGATTATTACTTTAGGTTCTAAACAATAACTTTTTGATGTGCGTGCCGATATGGAGAGCCTATCAAACCTAATTGCAAAGCATCAAATTATGGTCAAATTCAGGGGGGCCCCGCCCTCCAGGTTTTGTTAGGTCAGGAAACCCCCCTTGCCTTGTTAAAGTGAAATTTTACCCTCTCATTTTGTAGGCTAGATGTACACTGATAAAACATCAATACCGCCTATATTAAATCAGTATCGATATCCAGTAGGCTACTTTGTGTTGATGATGCCAAGTCTAAACAGACGGGGCCCACATTCTTAAGTTGTACCACATAGTTTATATGTCGAACAATGAGATTGCGCTTAGCGATCAGGCACTCTCGGCTTGCTGGGGGAAGAGATGTTGGGAACAGGCAAACGGCTGTCCATTTTGTACGATGTGATTTTTTGAAAAAGCCTGATTTTTGTTTTTCCTAATTTTTTGACATTCGACAATGTTGAATGATGGCGACGATATTTCGTCTAAGCTTTAAATTTCCAGATTCAATAGTTTTATTCACTTTTAAATTTTACTGAATTTGAATTCAACTACCGCATTACCCCCCGGGGCAATGCTACTGACTAGTGTCTTTGGGCCATTTCCAAAGGGGGGACATTAACTCTTTCCGAACGTATCGCCGGTATATCGGCGCGAGTCCGCGCCCCTTTCGGATGTATCGCCGATATCGGCTGTGATAAGGTGCCTCAGTATTGTTTTGTACATGATCCATAATTTATAATTACTTTTTATTGTTATAAATTGAAAACTTGGAAAGGATTTAGGAAAGGAAAATATCTAGATTTCTAGTTTCACTTTGTCAAAGCGTCGGTTTTGCGAAAAACAAGTGAACTAGTTCTTGCGGTCTTATATCAACAAAATGGTCTGACCGGACTCAGTATAAATATCATATAACTCAAACAAAAATTGGAATATTGCTTTCAAATTGTAAATGAAAAGCTACGCATTCAGAAATTTATGGATTAAAATGCTCGTGGCCTGTATGTGATATAGCTATGCTGATTTGCTTTCTCATGTTTGTGAATGTAATTTTTTCCGTCAAAATATATTTTTTTCTTCACCGTTGCCATTTCTAATCCTTGTAATGCATACTTGTGTTCAAAATTAATCCTTGTTTCATGTTTCAGCTTTCAATATCCTTCAACTTGATATAATATATCATATGTTACGTTTTGAGTTTGAGCGAGTTGGTTGGGCTTATACAAAGTTATTTTGTACATGACCTGTGTAGCCAAATCGAGCCTCAAGTTAATTACGTCTAGACCCCAAAAAAATTACGTCGGAAAGAGTTAACATGTTCTTGTACACAGAAGATTTGTAAATGGGCTGATTCATCAATGTCATGCTCATCACTGTGCCTGAACCGCAACAAAGAACTGCTGTTCTTCTCTCCTTATCCATACCATCGTCATTTTTTCCTCTACTTCTTTGGCATTTTTGTCACACTCTTGTGACCCGTTATTTCCCGAGTGCCTTTACAGTCAAAGCAAACTTTGTGCTATTGAAGCTAGAGAGGTGAGCAGAGTAAACCTGATTCCCTGTGAGGACTTCTCTGTTGACATCCACGCCTCGGCCCTCATATGACCTTATCAGTTGCGAGTGTCGTAAAACCTCTACTAAAACAAACAAACAACTACCACATTTCTGGGTAACTCTTAAATTGTTTTGTGTAGTTCTATAAATATATTTCTTCAATATTCTAATTGCCATTTGGCAGTAAAATCTAGTGGAGGTGTGCCCCCTGTATTTCCTCTTTGCATAGGGAAGGTCATCCTGTGATTATTTAAAAAAAAATCTTTTAAAAAATTCAGTAAGAGCAGCAACGTCTCTGCTTAGTCCCGAGGGGGTTACTGGTTACTGTTAGGTAGACACCACTGTGCCTTGATAATATTGAATTAATGAACATATAACAACAGTAAGTGGTTCAACAACAATTTATTTGTTTTTCAGAGAATTGAATGCACATGGTAGAACACTGAGCGGAGATGTCAAGCAAACCTTTGAGAATGTGAGTAGCTTTGTGGTATCTTTACATTTACAGTAACTACTTTTTCTATTCATTGATAGAATATATATATATACATCATACCTGGAAGTCCAAAGTTTTTACTACTTAAAATATATTTTTTTCTATCCAGGTTGCATTAACCTGACCATTGAACAAAATCAAGCCATTCTGTGAACTGTTGTGAATGCAACCAACTTGTTGACTTGTGTTTTCTCATGCTCTTTTGACCTTATATGTTGTTGCGAGCTTCGTTAAACTCTTACAAAACTCTAAAGTAAACGTCATAATAACTTTCCAGCCGGTTTAAATATTTCCAATCCTATAGTAGTCCAAGGAGATCAGTCTAGGCTCGTATCGTAAAATGAACCCCCAAAAACTGTCTTCCTTTTTATGACTTAAAGTCACCTTGCTTTTTTTATGTTTCCAACTTTATAAAATGCACATAGTCTCTGATACGGTTCGTTATTGTAATTCTCCTGTTTCCTGTTTCAGATTAGTTTCGGGAGATGTTGAGGGCAACTTTCAGCAGTTGTTCAAACGTGTGGACACCATACAGAAGAAGAGTGGCAAGTTTGATGTGAGTTCTCGTTGATGCTGTCCGAGATATTTTTATGTTAATAGTGTCAAGCATTGCCATCTTGTGTGTACATTGTTAGACCCGTTGTTGTGCACTCAAAAGTGTGAGGAAGATAATTTATTGGGTTTTGTTTCTACTGGGATATAGTCTCATATACTGTTCAAGGGGGTATGGGAATTGTTTTATATAATTTTTTTTGTTTTTCGTTTTTCAGTCCCTTTCCTGATTTGGTGCAGATATTTGTGACTTACGTTTAAAAAACGTGACAACATGGTAGTAATTGTTATGCTTTCATGAAAAACAAAGGAACAAGGAAAATTGTTTTGTTTTTTGATGATAGTGATATAATGATAATGATGAATATACAGGATAGTTCGTCTTCTTTACATTGGAATCAGACTCATGTCCATTGCAAAAAGAAGGAAGGAAAGGCCTTACCATTACACCAGAGACACTGGTTTTCATCAAGCTCGCTTGTTATGATCTGCGATGCAGCCTCAGCAACCACCCATTCCATGTTATCCTTTGTTTCTACTTTTTTTTTTACTGATTCCAGCTGTTGCTGTGTGTTGGGGATTTTTTTGGGCCAGATCTATCAACCTGGGAACCGTATAAAAGTGGCAAAGTGAAAGGTGAGCAGTGAATCAAGTCTGTCACCTCTTATCAATAACAGTATATGAAGATGATAGTTTTATTTCATGGCATCCTTTTGCAAAAATGCATCTTTTCTATACTGTCTTTTTCTTCAATCACACCTCGAGAGCATTTGTAATTATAACTCTATTAGAAACATGTGTCTCAGTTGGACATTCACCATACAGTACAGAGACATACAGACACACAAGAGCTCTTTCAAAAGCATATGTATTCATTGTACTTTCTCAATCATCAATTCAGATTCTATTTTTCACTGAAGCGCATGAACACACGTACATAGACATCAGATACACAGACTCTCGCAGATGCACTTAAAAACTCACTCAAGCTCCTATACCCATGCTGAGACACACTTTTAGTTACATGTACGCTTGAAAACTTGGCACTCACGCTCACAAACATGAGCCCACATTTCCACACTTTTTCTCTGGCATGTTTAACGGGACACTGAGGTTCCTCTTTGAATACACATATACACCCTTTTCTTGGCACACACAGACACACACTTTTGCATGATCACAAGTCTTAACCCTTATGCAGTTGCGAGTACCGTAAAACCGCTTTAAAACAAGGTCTTAACAAATTGTTTGTGTTGTACATTTCTGAAGTGCCGATCTCTACCTTGGTCCTGGGCCCCAATCGGCCGGAGCTGGGCATCTATTACAGTGGAGACGAAGGTTCAGAGTTGTGTGATGGAGTCACATATCTAGGTAAGCCTTCTTTCCTCGATCTTCGATATCCTTTTCTTTATCTCAAAGATACAACCAACTTGTTCTCCCTCTATATGCCAGTAATTTTGTAGGAAAGGCCTTTTACTAAGGTTTGGACACTGAGTTTGAATCGCTTTCAGAACCAATTGAGTACCTTTTAAGTTCAAACTACTATGTTTTTAAATGCTTTGCTTCCTTCCTTCGACTCACATTACCCCTATATATTTCTGACTTGAGTTTGATCCCAATGTGGGGAAAATAACTAAATTCCAGGCTGAGAAAGCAAAGTGTTTCATAATACTTACATGACGTTACTGTTTTCTTTGTACTTGCATGCCTTCTTCCCAACTTGCATGTGGTTCGAGGGTGCCGCTGGTTGATCCTACTTCTTATGTTTCCCTATTTCATTTCTGTCTCCCTGTCTTACCTTTTCCTTGCACTAAATGATCGTGAAATTTTGTCAGTTTGCTTTTCTTTACTTAAACTCATCTGTTTTACTTTCATTTCAGTCTGTTAAATGAGGCTTGTGTTTTGCCAAAAAATTAACATTGTGTAGAACCCACCTTTAAAGGATATATGTGAGGAGGCGTGGTGGAATCAGGCTCTCGTCAAAATAATCAAAGTGAAGAAACTTGCTTTTATCTATTGGTTTGGGTATTTTTATCAAATTTTTGTTTTTTGGCTCAACACCTTTCTTGCCCATTTAAGAACTAATTTCTGTGTGGATTTTTCTGAAAAGCGTTGATTAAAGACAGAAAAAAGTAAATTTTCATTTACCACGGAGTCTTAAGCTAAGGAAATAACTAATCTTTGCCTGCCATTTTGTCACTAATTTTACCTTTGAAAACAGATGACCCCCGCCTCCTTCATTTGCAAATATCTCGACTTGTATTCAAGATACATGGATATTTTTTTAAATTCCAAATAAACACAGGTGAACAAGCTTTACGATGAGACCAATAACTCTACATGCCCAAAAATTGACGAGAGCCTGATGCCACCACGCTGCCTCACATATCATGTTTGTGTCAAGTTTGCCATTTGACTCGTCCAAAATGCCAGAAACAAAACTAGATTGAACCCGTGTTCTGTTTCTGTGTTATAGGTAGACAGGGCAAGTTCACTGGCTCCTCTGGCCTTCAGCTCTCTTACCTCAGTGGCCTGGAAGCCACTGCTGGCAGTAAGGGAGACGAATGTACCTTCACCACAGCTGATGCCAAATCGCTGATCTCCCCTGTTGCTAATGACTCGAGTTTCAAAGGTGTGGATATTTTGATCACGTCTCAGTGGCCTAAGGGTGTGGAAAAGTATGGCTCCTCAAGTGTAAGTAGTTGGCTTATTCTGTTTCTCGTTGAGCGGGCAGTTAGTGATGAATTCTAGTGTTGTCTGCTTCTGCTTCTTGCTTTAATTCTTGGTATTGCTCTCATCCGCTCTCTTTTGCTAACTTGCTGGAAATTTCAATGGAGCAGTGTCTTATACATTGAGTGCTTATTGAACTTTTACCATTGAGTGGTTGGTGGGTGCTCCGCTGTGGTTTGCTCCTTCTTTCCTATCAAACAACTATGGTCCATATCTCTCCTCCTTCTGTTTTGTGTTTTCTCTCTCTTGTAGCACTTCTTGTAAAGTTACCTGGCGGTCCGATGAGTCGGGTGTGTCAGGGGGCCCCCGTCCAAGATAGGTGTTGCCTCGTCGTGGTCCTGAGTTCGACTGAATACCTCAGTGAGTCTCTCAGACGATGTCTCTCTATTTTGTGCCTGACTCCTGACGTCATCCAAGGGCGTGCCACTCTCCTAATTATCTTGTCCCCACAGTAAAGATAAGAGTCATGTCCCTTGACATCACATACCCCTCACAAGCAATTTCAAGAACAATTCAAAATGCTAAACGCATCAACCAGAAACTGAAACTGTAACTCTGAAACCTTATATACACTGTACACAGCAGAAACTTTGTCTATAAGTCGAGTCTCTGTCGAGGCCTGACATGGTGTCCCGACTTCGTTAGTGTATATATTATCTATGGCACTAATATGACCTTATTGTGTTGCAAGTGCCATAAAACACTTGCTAAAACATGCTTTTATCAAAAGTTCTTGTTTATTATTTTGTATTGCCGCCTTTCTGTTAGAAGGGGTTGACAAACTGACGAACAAGGTCAGTGTTCATGACTTTGCTTTTTTTTTTATGTGAGTCACTGGGATGACTTTAGCTGAAAGTGAAACACAGGGCACTGCATTGTGAGATTGTGTAATTTCATGTACTATGTTGCTTGTTGTTATTTGTGACAGAGTCAAACCTGCCGTAATGGCCACCTGTGTGAGGCAATCACCTGTACAAACAGCTACTTCATCCCCCCCCAAAAAAACCCACAACAACTGCATTAAAAAAACCCTCAATATTTATTATGACACTGTAAGATGTACACCTGTCCGACACAGCCACTTTTCTCCTCGGAGATGGGTGGCTGTCTTAGACAATTTCAAACATATTCTGTGTATCAAAGTGGTTGTAGAAAAATTGCATGATGAATATAAATTAAAGTTGGTTTATTTTTCATGGTTTCCCTTTTTTATATGAAATCTCTTTAGTCATGATACAAGATATTGATTGCTTACTGATTGAATGGAGCTTTATCCTTCAACCAGTGACATCAATTGATAGAAAGGAACTAGGTTCCCCCCCCCATCTAAGAACAAACAAAGACAAAATCCTACGGTAAATAAGCAAACCAAAATGTAAAGTCACTGATATCCCCATTCTACCTCTCAGGAGAGACAGACAGAGCAACATCCTGGCTCGGCCTGTATTGCAGAAGTCGCCAGAGTTCTCCGGCCCCGCTACCACTTTGCTGGGCTGGAGAAAGTGTTCTATGAGAGGCAGCCGTACAGGTGAGCTGCTATTGTTTTGAGAGAGAGAGAGAGATAGAGAGAGAAAAAAGAGAGATTAGGAGAGGGAGGAAGAAAGAGACTTTAGTACGCAGTGCTTCAAATGTTTCAGACACAATGCTAGACTAAAAAATTACTGCTGAATGTGTAGTTATAGTCCATCGTATTTCTGAACAATAATAACGAGCTTTAGGTCTGTAGCTGAGAGAACATTTCCCTCTACATTTTTAAAATTTGTGTACCACATTCTTGAATTAGTTTGTAAGCATTGAGTCAAACTTTGAGTAGAGAACTTTGTTTCGTCATGTCAGATGACAGTGTTGTATTGAGTTGGTCTGCTGTGTATTTCCTGTGTTGGTGGCATAGACTTGATTTACAGTATCCTAGACCGTGCACTGTTATGGCCACTGCACTTTGCATTTTATAATAGCTTTGCTGCAAAGCATGTGCTTCATGAAAACTGAACTGATGTGGAAAGCACTGGGTTCAACATAGTTAAATGTGCCCTGCACCTTTCTTCTCTTGTCTTTTACTTGGCTCCAAACAGAGTCATGTGGTGCACTTCAAAACTGAACCGGAATTATGTCAGGGTGCAAAGTCTAGGATATAATAATACAAGTCTATAGTTGGTAATTGGCTAGATCACTCTGTGTTGGGAAAAACAGAATTTACTTCTGTCCTCAGAAACCACCAAGTTCTCTTGGACTCGGCGCGGCACATCACGCGGTTCATTGGCTTGGCTGACGTCGGCAACAAAAGCAAAGCAAAGGTTGGTGTCCACTGTACTGTTGCGTGCATGAAAAGTGGAGTGTGTGGTTGGTGTGCGCCCTTAAAAGTTTTGGAAGCAAGCCCACGTTCATGACTAAAGTGTCTTTAGGCCATTCCCAAAGGGGGAATATTAACATTTTTTTATGCACAGTAGAATTGTAAATGAGCTGGTTTGTCAATGTCATGCTCATGCTGTGCTGGAACAACATAGGGGGAACTGCTACTTTTTATTTCCTCATCCTTACTATCGTCACTTTTTCCTCTATTCTTTTGTATGTTTGTCACTCTGTTGTGAACTGCTATTTCTGGGGTGCCTTGATAGTCGAAGCAGACTTTGTACTGTTGAGGCAAGGGAGATGAGCGGAGTAAGCCTGATTCCCTGTTTGGACTTCTCTGTTGACATCCACCCCTTGGTGCTCATATGACCTTATGCTGTTGCGAGCGCATAAAACCTTACTAAAACAAACAAACACATAAAAAAGATCAGTAGCTGTGGAGAGTATATGCAAACTGCTGGGGTATAACTGAAGGAGGGAGGTAACCGATGAATTTAAATATTTTGATTTTGTATCTTCCTTTGTTGCGTCCCTTGATTCCTGTCTTCTGTATGCTCTGCTTTATTTTATGGATTGGAGAGTTTCGTTAAAAGTGAGTAATGTATTCTGTCCCATACATGATGGTAGAGCTCAAAAAGGATTACAAAATTACCTTTGTAGGTCAGTTTTCTTCACCTACTTTGTTTCAAGAATGTGAGGAGCAGAATGAAGATCAACTGGAGGATAAAGAAGTCCTATGATAGGCTGTTTGTTGTGTATTATTATATCCATTGAAATTTTATCTCTTACATCAAGTTATCTAAAGCATGGTATTGTTTAAAGACAAAAAAAGTTTCCTAGCCATAAAACATAAATGCCCATACTTTACATTTTTAAAATTAGGCGTCTGGCCTAGTGGTAAGGCTCTCAGACTCGCAACCGTGTCCTTGGGAAAGGCACTTTACACAAATTTTCTATACATAGGGAAACAAAAAAAAATGGGACTGAGGATTGCAGGTAATAGCATATTTCTCAATGGGTTGCTACAAATGCTGGAAGAGTTACTGGGAAGTGCGGGGCTCAGTGCTTTTGGGTTTGTGTGTGGGG